TGTTTTTAATTTAGTGTCATACTCCTGAGTGATAGTGGCTAGAATATACTTCTCCACCCACCCAACTAATGTTAATCTTAGCTGTGAGACTTGCACTGATCAGTGGAAAGCACACATGAGCCATTCTCAGCCTGCACTTCAAGAAGCACAATAAATTTTTGCCTGCTTTGTTTTCAGGATCTGCTATTAGAAAAATGTACTTTGGTAGCCGATCATCTTGAGGAAATACATGGTATAGAGCTGAATGTCATTCAAGCTGGGAGCCAAGCCTGGCTGAGCTCACCAAGACCAGCTGGGCTCAAGCTGAGCCACAGATCCACGGCTGTGAAAGAAATCGATGTTGTTCTAACACATTACATTTGAGGGTGATTTCTTACACAGCATTATTGTAGTAAGAACAAATCATACACTACTCAATCCATTTTTTCATTTAACAGTTATTTATTGGGTAATTGATATAAGAGGGACACTTGTAATTACAAACTTCAAGGATACCATCAAGAGTAAAGCAAAGAAAGCGAAGAAAAACGAGCACAGGTAGGTCACATGGTAATAGATGCTAGCATAAGACAAAATGGAATAATATGGTAGGCAGTGAGGAGCTCCGGAAGGATACACATTCAGCTGAATGTCCAGGAGAAGGCTCTGAGCCAGAAATACTGAATGAGACAAGAGTGGGAAGAGGCAGCCAGAATCCATGGAGCCACAGTGCAGAAGGGCAGCAGCAGCCTAGAATTTTGGCCTAGAATGGATTTCAGTGTCTCTCAACCAAAGGCTATAAAAATTAATACTAAAAATATTCCCTAGTCTGGAAGTTATTCTGATATCTAGAGATAAATTCAGGTCCCAGGAAGTAGCTAAGCCAGATAAGAAAACAAGCATGGAAGCAAAGAGAGGTGGATTCTGGGCTGGTCTCACTGCCCACTTGTCACAGGGATCTGAGGTATCGTGGGTTTGGCTGGCTAAATGTACAGCAGGACAGATAGCTGTGGTCTGCTGAACTGGCTATACCCTGTCTTAGTATTGGCATCATTCTGATTTATAGTAGTTGGGTCAGAGCTTTTCTATTTCTTAGATACGTTATTTTCACTAGATGTAAATAATTTCACAGTTTTCTTATATGTTATTTTTTCCTGGCCTAATCAAAGTTATATGTATACATGGTTTAGAAGAGTTCTATAGAATAATAAGTTTTTAAAAAATAACCTTTATTCTCATAATCAATGGTGAGATTTATCAACTGAAGATTTTCACCTGATTATTTGACATTTTCCCTTAATATTTCCAAAGAACTTGCTGAATCTTGGTTCTTGATTCACCATTTTAATAAACCCAGGTTTTATTGATTGCCTACAATTGACTAGGAGAACTTCACTTTCTTTCCTGTTCTGTCCAACATGTTTTTATTCTAGTCTGTCACCTTTTCTTCTCAGTATATTACAATACTTTTATTTAGATCAGCATTCAGTATTTAAATAAATGCTTTTCACAGTTGGACCAGACAATAAGATGCAATTGCCTTTCTTTTCTCTGGTAGGCATCCTCTCAGATAACCTCAAGGATCCCTGCCAACTAGTACCCTAATCCTTTATGTGTTTCCTAGCCTTAGAAGTGAGCTAACTTATTGTCTTGCTTCTGACAGATTATGGCAAAGCAGTAGATGTCTCTCCTGAGATTCAGATACATACAGACTAGTCTAGGCCTATTTCATTTGCTTATTCTGAGTATATGAGCCAGAGGTGTAAAAATGCCCCACCAAATTCCTATTCTCAAACACAGCCTAGTACTGTGGTGGATCAGTTTTGCTGATGAATCTAGCTGACTGAAAAAAGACAGATTATCTTAGGTAATCCAGATAGGCCCATTGCTATCACAGGAACTTCTTTTTTTTTTCTGTATCCCTTTTTTTTTCATAATTTTATTGATAAACAAATAGCAATGAGACAGTTTCAAATCAAATCGCTAGGACAGTTTCAAAAATTAACATACTGCATACATTCTTCTTAGTGGTTAATTACTGTACAAGATGCAGACTTGAGATCCTATTTACAAACACCATCAGAACAAATCATTCTATTCATTAAGAGAATGTAACTATATATCTATCCCAACCACTTTGAATACACAGATACAAAATGGACATTCATCTGTATATCCTTTTTTTGTTAAGTTCTGTTATTTGAATATTATAGGTGTGTAAACTCAGCAAAATATTCTAAAAGAGTCCAGTAGCCCATAATAGCATTGGGCCTTCCGCTTAACTGGCAATGTCAGGAATTGTTGACCTGAGTCCCCTACAGTGCAACATAACAGCATGGCTTTACTTCTTATATTTCGTTTTTATACTTTTCTGCTGGGTGGTTAAGACCAAGGTAAAGCAGGACCTATGCAACAAGAGTTGTAGCTTTTGGGTGTGATAAGGTCAGTGAAATCCCCTCAGGATTTATCTTGAGATCCTGTACCTCAGATTGTAGAATCTTTGTCAGTGTCAACCAGGAGGATGAGTCACAGCCATTGCTTGGCCAGTGTGCTCTCTGTATCACAGGAACTTCTAGAGGTAGCAAAAAATGGGCGACTGAGGCACAAGGGAGATCAAAGAGATTCTTAATGTGAGCACTCAGGATACTGCTGTTAGCTTCAAGATGAAATCAGTCCACAGCCAGGAAATGTGGCTTTAGAAGCTGAGTATCACCCTTGGTTATGAGCCAGAAAGGACATGAGGACAAGAGTCCTAGGACCACATAGAACTGGATCCCACCAGCATCTGGAATGACCTTGGCAGTGAATTTTCCCCCAGAGATATGAGGTAGGGCTCAGCCCAGCTAACATGGATTTCAGCCTTGTGAAATTCAGAATGGAGGCTCCGAGCTCGTCTAGACTCATGACCTAGAGAGTGATGAATTTAAAAAGCAATATTCTTTTAAACTGATACGTTATCAATCTGTTACAGCAGATAGAAAATGAATAGATTTGTAGGAAGCCAGGTGACAAGTTGTGAGATACAAGGGAATTGGGAAATGATACTATCAAGGATTCCTCATAATAAGGCTATGCCATCGACTAAAACTTTCTCAAAAGATTACAGGAGAGTGGTTGTTTACAAGTACCTGTTGCATACTCGCTAAGAATACTGCTCTAAATAAAACAAATGATGTTCCTCTTTTCATGGCAAAGAGACTGTGTGACTGTTATCTTTGTGTTCTGTTTTTCCAAATCTACTCTCATAATGGAGAGAATTCATCCCAATTTTGATGCCTTCTGGAAAATTCCAAGATTATCTGGTAAATATTTAATAAACATTCACTAAAGCCTTTCATTGTGCCACTTCTCTGGGGCTGAATGTGTGGCCAATGCTTTTTGTGTTCATGAATTTCAGGGAAGGAAAATATAGGAGTGTGTAACTATTGTGTACGTGATCCATGCGAGGGCAGGATAGCCAAGGCAGAGGTCTGAGTTTCTAGAGTACTTGTTAAGGTGCACAGTATCCAATGTTTTCCATTTGGCAAGTGCTAGCCCTTTCCTTAGTCTCTGAAAATAACAAGAAAGGTCATATTTTCTCCTTCATTCCTTTTTTTTTTTTTTTTTTTTCTGATTCCAGTGAAAATCCTAGAGAAAAATAAGAATGCGTAGCCCTTGGGCATTGTCTAAAATTTATTTATGCTCATAAAAACCAGGGATCTATCAGCTATTTGGCCTTGAGCTGGACAGATGTGTTTGTTTGGTAGCAGAAGATTAAGATTTCCTGAAAGGCTTTGTTGCTTGTTTTTTTTTTGTTCCCGAGCATGATGGTTTTCTGACACGTGCTATTTCAGAGTAATCTCATTCCCATTGCTCATTTTCTAATTCAGTGAGAGAGCATTTGCTCAGGGGAACCCTGTGTGCATTTTAAAAATAGCTACACATTTAGGTTTCCTTGATCTTGTGACAAGAACAAAAAGGAAGCTGTTACTTTTATACGCAGAAATAACTCACATTGAAATCAATGTGCTTTCCTTTATGAACAATAGGTGCATAGATGTATGTAATTTTCACTGAAACAGGTTTTATATTTTTGCATATGTATATCAATGTTTCTTTACAAATGTTAGTCTGTCTGGTTTTTTTTAGACAAACAGCCAAGAGATCAGTAGCATAGATTTACATTTATAACTTTCTTCTATTGTTTGTTTATTGACTCAAACAGTAATTACCTGCTTCACATCTAGTACTTTAAGAGTTCTTAAAGATATGAACATGAAATGAAAGAGGCCTCAAGCAACTTAGTTTGGCTGAAAAACAAACAGCTAAGTTAATTTCTGACAGAAAACAATAAATAAGAGATAACTCTTCTTTCAAAAAACCAGCAGAAGAGGATGAACCAGCATATATTATAAAAAGAATTCCAGGTAGTGACAAATGTTCCCCTGCAAGAGTGTTTTTTTAAGAACTATAAATCTGTGGTAGGGCCAGGCAGATAGCTCAGCAGACTAAAGCACCAGTTTAGGCAGGCTTGGCGACCAGAGTTCAATCCTTCATGTGCAGTACCGCCCTGACCCTGGGGTGCGCTGAGATGGCGACTGAGACTGGGCGTGCTAATGTGTGCCTGTAATCCTGGCTCTTGGGAAGCTGAAAACAGGAGGATCACCACAAGTCCAATCTACGTAGTGAGACACTGTAGATCCTGTACTAAATATTAAAAAAAAACAAAAACAAAAACAAAAAACCCTGAAAAACTATGGTGTCTATAATTCTGTTAGGATGAATCAGGCAGGGCTGAGAGGAAAAATTCAATGTCAAACTCAATTTAAAGAAACTATTTAGTTAAGTCAATGTCCGCTGTATTTATTTATCTGTCTATTTATTTTTGCTGGTTCAGCCCGTCCCGAGGGCGGGTCTGGCATGGCATGTGGTGCCGGGATAGAACCGTGGTCCCCTGAGCCTGCGTAAGCTTACCTATACAGACGTTTTAGACCACTGAGCTATCTTGCTAGCCCCAATGTCAGCTGTTTTTAAAAACTAAGATTCTTTTGTAGTTCCTAAATGTGACTATTGGGTGTTCATGCTGTTTTATGATATATTCTTTCTTCAAATCTGCTCATAATGTGGACATATTACTGGTATGGTGTAAAAAATAAAGTAAAATGTGTAACTGCTCAAAAAGGGTGTTACCAATCACATGACATACAAAGTAACTGCACCTCATTGATGGTAGCTCTTTTTCACACAGTGACTCATTTTGGGATTTTACCATCTTCTGCTGTGTCTGCCGAGGTCCTGAGGCTCTGCGCCACGATATTCATGCATGTGTGAGGCCGTTAAGGGCCGGCCTTGGAAGTGGTACATTGTGCTTCTTGTCATGGTCAGCTGTCTAGAACTCAGTTACATACCTTCATCTACTAGGGCCGAGCGCTGTTGTCTACCTGCACAGTTGGACAGAAGAAAGAAGTGAACAGTTACTCTCACTTCAGCCTTAAATTGAATCATAACACCTCAGGATTAGAAAGTGCCAATAAATAAATAAATAAATAAAAATAAAAGAAAAAAATCAGTATCAGATGATAATTTGAAATTTACAGGTAAAATTTGGGGGTTTTGAATTCATAAAATTCATATTTTATATTGCAATATACAGACTCATAAATTTCTAAATATAAAAAGCCATGAAAGTGAATAATTTATCTGACTTTGCTTTTAATCTAATATAATTTTAGGTGGGAGTATATGCACTCTTTCTTTTTTTCCAAATTTTTGTTCTAAAATTCATCTAGAATTTTATTTAGCTCAATTAGACAATTAGATTTCCTGAGTTTGCCTGGCATCTTTGTATTTTATTAAATAAAAATCAATGATTTAATTTATATAAAAAAAGAATGTAGACTCTGATTTCATGCAGAGGAACACTATAGACACCCACTAAGTCAATTTGTTTAAAGATGTTGTTCAGTTCTGTTATTTCTTTGTTGATCTTTTGGTCATGTTGATCTGTGCTTTTGTTACATTGGAGTATTGAGATCTCCTATTATGACTGTATTAATGCTTATTTGATTTTTCACAACCATTAACATTTGCCTTATACTTGAGTGTATATAGCTTATACAGATATTTGTTGCATATACATTTATAATTGTTAAAAAAAGGATTAGAAAGTACCATAGGTTTTTGTGCCTCAATATTTTCTTTCCTGGAGCACCCATGAGCTATTCATTAAATGGCAATCTGTTCTAGGAAATTAACATCTGTATTTCCTTGGTCTTAATTTGCCAATACTCCCCTTTAAATTGTGGTTCCAAGAAAGGATCACATTACTCCAGTTATGGTAAATCAATAAAAAGCAGAGTAAAGCAAAATTTTCCTCATCATCTGGAGGTAGTTCAAGATTATCTTACCAGGTAATTCCTATCAGTTTATTTAATTTTGCTGGTTTTATGGATTAGAAAAATGTGAACTACATTTTGATGATGCTAATATAATCTGAGTGAATTTTACTCCTTAATTGCGATTGCATTCCCAATATTGAACACAGTACTTGACCCATAATAGGTATTCAATAATTATTAATGAATGCGGAGGGGTGTTTCAGCATCTTACAAGATTTCTTGAACATAGTACTTTCATATTTTCCATTAATTTTTTCTTTTGGGGCTACATTCCAGGTGATCTCTGCAATCTTACAGTTTTCTAATGTAATACATTTTATACTTTTTCATGAGTATGGTTTTAAATGTCTAGAATTTTGATTTGTTGTTTTCTCTGATGAATTTGGTGTTTGGATTTTTTTCCTTCCTTTATTTCTCAGAATATTTTAATCACATTTATTTTGTCTTGTTTGGTCTATGTTTTGAAGATTCTGACATTTTGAAGTTCAGATTGATATCCTCATTGTGCCTGTGAGCTCCTTTATACAATGGCATTGGTTACTGTGGGAATCTCAGTTACACCAGGGAGCACGTCCATGCCACAGGGCAGTGAGGGTGAACCTATGGCACGGTGCCGCAGAGGACTGTTTGTGTCATTGAAAGCTCCAGAAGGTTCAACATCACTGCTATAGGGCATTGGAGCTTTTCCTGTGCTGAGGATCTATACACTGGACCATTTTTAAATTGATTTTTTTTTTTTTTTGCATTAATATCTCTTCTTAAGGTTTTCTTATGTTGAGGACAGTAAACTTTTCGACCATGCACTCACAAGTGGCATGATTCTGGGGGTTTTGTTTCTGGTGGATGATTGAAAACAGAGTCTAAAGGATTTCATTTCCTTCTCAATGAACTTAAAATCATATTTTCCTAAGGCAAATATCTAAATCTTGTGCATTGCCTGTCAGCTCTTTTTGGCACACGGTCTTGCTTTTTATGCTTAAGTATGTATTAAAAACATCTTAAAAAATATATTCTCACCAGCATTTCTATGGGTTTGGAGCAGGCACTGGGTTTCCCACTGTGGTGGACACTGTGATGCATGGCCCAGAAACCCTTTCATTGAAGGGTTTGTTGACCCAGCTGCTGGTAGTACTGGCTGTAGATAGTGCTCAGCTGTCAGCCCTTTTGGGGATTGCTCAGCTGCAGAAATCCTCCTTATCCAGGGTCATGTCCCTTTTTTTCCCCCTGGGCAGCCCGCAGCTATCAACTGATTAATGCAGGAGTATGGAGGACCTACCACTCTATTCAAACTCGGTGGGTTCAGCCAAGGCAGTCCCTGAGCCCACATCACAACCCAGTTCCTCAGTTTGCCTGTTCCTGCTCTTACTCTGCCTTTCGCAGCTGTTGATTCCAAGGCTACGCCTGGTGAACAGCCTGTCTGCTGACCTCTGCTTCATCGCCTGCTTTTCCTGGGGCACCAACCTGCAACGCCTGTATCAGGCCACCTTATATTGACCTAAGCATCATATTTAGGAATTTAGGAAATGTTTACTAATGATGCCATTGATGTGAACAGATGCCGAGCTAGTCACTCAGTCCTGTGCTTGTGTGATATATTTATGTAGACTTATTTTAGTAGTGGCTTTTAACAACATACTCATTCTTGATCAAATTTTTATAAAATTAGGAATAATATTCTTTTTTTTTTTCTAGAACCGGGAATTGAACTCAGGCCCTTGAGCTTGCCAGGCAAGCATTTATTCTACTGAGCCATCTCCCGGTCTCCCAGGAATAATATTCTTATACAAAAGACCTCTATCTAAAGAAAAGAGGTGACTTCACTGTCAAGGTTGAAACACTGGAAAAATTACAGCTGCAGTGAAAAACAAGACCTGTCTGCTCTATCTCACCATTGATAAGTGTTTTCCTATGATTTTTGGTGATGCATTAAATATAAAAACTACAAAAAAGACACACAGATACCATCATTTGTACATGGCTTACCTACTAGAAAAATCAACACATATTTTTAACATGATCAAAACTTAGTAAAGTGGTTGGTTATGGTGTAAGAATACAAACCAACATATAAATGGTTCCTAACTCGCAATGTTTTGATAGGATATTTTTCTTACTTTATGATATTATGAAGGTGATATATAATCAGTGAAAACCATACTTTGAAGTAAGAATTCCGGACTTTTCCTAAGCTAGTGACACTTTGTGATTCTCAGTCAGCCATGCAATTGCAATGATGAATAATTGACATTTTGCAGTATATTGTGTTGTGTTCTGATGTTCTGTGGTTATAAACTCTAGCTATATTTTGAGCTTTTTATATTTTCAACTTGTAATGGATTCGTTGGGCCATACCCTATTTTTTAAATTATGTTTTTAAAGAGAATGAAAAATGGTAAAAACAAATTAGAAACAATACAGAATTTCACTAAGCAAAATAATAGGAATGTAATTTCATATATATATATATATATATGTGAAATTAAAACAGAACAGAAAAAAATTTAATCATTAACTGCTCTTTTCAATAGACCAGCAGAAATCAGCAGTACAATTATCCAACCTGTCTTATATATGTAATCTTTTCCCCTTCTTTCTTCTATCCTTTTCCTCATCCCAATTTTTCCTTCCCTTGGAACTGATACTTTTTTCTCTTGTACAGTCTCTATTGTGTCTTTTAAATTTTATTTACTCTTTCAGGTTCTTACACTAGCAAAGCAATACCATGTTTGTGCGTGTAGGTCTGATTAATTTCACTTATTAATCCAGTCTCTAGTTGCATCCATTTACGTATGAAAGCCTCAAATTTATCTTTTTTATAGCTGAGTAATATTCCATTGTGTAAAAATACCATATCTTTTTTTTATCTACTCCTCAGTTGAAGGAAATTTGGAATGCTTCCAAGATTTAGCCATGACAAGTTGTGCTGCTATAAATATGTGTGGACATGTATGTATGATGTTTTCAGTTCATTTGGAAAAATACTTATGAGGGGGATAGCTGGGCTGTTTTGAGGAATCCCCACACTGATTACAGCCTGCACTCCCAAAAACAATGGAGAAATGTTGCTTTTCCCTATGGTCCCACAGTATTTGTTATTAATTGACTTTTTGATGATAGTCATTCTGTCTGGGATAAGATGGAATTTCAGTGTTGTTTTAATTTGCACCTCTCGAATGACAATGATGTTGGACATTTTTGTTCCACATATATTTACTTGCCATTTGTATTTCTTCATTTTTGATGTATATATTCATCTCAGATGCCCATTTTTTATTGGGTCTTTGAATTTTGAAGGCCTGGTTTTTAAAAAAATTGTTCATATGTTCTAGATAGAAGTCTTTTGTCTGAAGGATATTCAGTTATAATTTTTCCAATTCATGGGTTTTCTTTTTACTATGTTGGTAATTTCTTTTGACATGAAGAAACTTTTCAAAAAGGTGAGATCCCCATTGATTCTTTTTAGTATTTCCCATGCAGTTTGGTTTTTGTTCATGAACTTTCTACCTACCCCTATATCTTTAAGGTTTCTACCTACTTTCTCCTCCAGAAGATTTAGTGTTTCAATTTTAATATTTAAATACTTGATCCATTTTGACTATAGTTTTGTGGATGGTGATAGTCATGAATCTAATTTTAGTTTTCAATATGTGGAAAGCCAGTTTTTCTAGCACCATTTATTAAAGAGGCTATCTTTCTTCCAGTGAATGTTTGGTTCCTCTGTCAAAGATTAGGTAGCTGATTGTGTTTG